TTTTTCAAAATACAATTAAAACGTTAATGCAACAAAAACCATTAAAACAGGGGTTCCCAACCTTTTTTGGCCATGCCCCACCTGAGTATCTCTAAAATCCTGATGCCCCCCCCCCCCCCCCCCGGGGCATATAATTCTTACTTTACTCAAAAAGTGAACTCTACTCAAACAGAGGAAGCCTAAAAGGCCATTAACTTGGTTTAAACAAGGTTCAAATTGCCCCCCTGTGGGGAACTATTGCATTAAAAGGAGTGTTTGAATAATATTTTGAATCTCATCCTCCACTGTAATGAGAACATTGGCTTCAACTCTTTACGGCAAATATTCCAGAATCTGAGTCCCGCTATAAAAACAGGTGTGACCACATAATGTCCATGCATTTACAGTAGGACTCACAAACAAACTCCAAAAACAATCTAAGTTTATGAGATAAGACTGTACAGGAGTAAGTGGCCCTAGTGAAAAACATTATTCTAAACCTAAGATACATTATGGGCCAGCTTGTAGTTGCGATGGCATCAATGTGTTTGCATCAGTGGCTCTTATCCCATTTTAATTTAGGTTTTTGGTGGTCCCTGACTTAGTACTAACCTGTAAATGGGAAGCAGATGTATCATTTTCCACCTGCTCCTCCTGTATAATATCAAAGAACTGAAAGTCTCTATAGCAGCCAGACGTGCTGTCATTTTTGTCTTTCTCAGACACGGAAGACTGTTTCTTTTCATCAGATTCTTTCTCATTTGCTCCATTGCTGATATTTGGACGGAGGCTAGTGATCAGGCGGTAGCGGCTTTCCTGCCTTTTGGCGTGCTTTGAAGAACGAAGATCCTGAATTATTCTTTGAGCACTCCCTAGAGCAGGTCGCAGGATCTGGCCTCCTTTCTGATGGGTAAAAGCTTCTTGTACATATTTGTCAACAGGTTCGGCCTAAAAGACATTTTAAAGAAGTTCAGTTAGCAGTTGGGATTAGAGCAGTGTTTCTCAACCTTGGCAATTTATAGGTGTGTGGACTTCAACTCCCAGAATTCCCTACTCAGTATAATGTCTTATGGAGATTCTCAGTCATCCAGGTCATGGTTGTCTCAAAGGTGCTTTTTCAAGAGATAACTGGACATTCCTGGTTTTTCTTTGAAGGTGTTTTACTTCTCATCCAGGAGGCTTCTTCAGCTCACGTCTTCAAAGCTGAAGAAGCTTCTTGGATGAGAAGCAAAACATCTTCAAAGAAAAACCAGGAATGTCCAATTGCCTCTTGAAAAAAGCACCCTTGGGATACACAGAATAATCTCTCCTCTCTCACCCCTATGGGGTTTTTCAATAGAAAAAGACATCTATTCAAGATTAAAAATATATATTAAATCTTGATACATAATTCCTGGGTGTGTAAAATAGGTGCATTTGGAACGGGGCAGGTGTCCGAGGGCAAGATCCCTGCAGGGGGACAACATTCTGAAGCTGAATGTTCTACAATTTATTATTTGTTATATCAAATTTACTTTCAACTTCCACCCTAAAACAAAGAAGGATGTTTAAAGGCAGTCCAAGATACTGTAATGCCCTCCCCCCTCCCCATTTGGGACAGGATACAGGCCAATTACACAGCCTTGTGTAAAATCAGCATAGAACATAGAATAATAGGGTTAGTAGAGACCTTGGAGGTCTTCTAGTCCAACCCTCTGCCCAAGCAGGAAACTCTGTAACATTTCAGGCAAATGGTTGTCCAATCTCTCCTTATAAACTTCCATAACTTCTAGAGGCAAGACGTTCTATTGATTAATTGTCCTCACTGTCAGGAAGTTTCTCCTTAGTTCTAGGTTGGATCTCTCTTTGATGATCTTCCACCCATTACTTCTTATCCTGCCCACAGGTGCAGAAATACATTCAGCAATATTTCTCCATGATCTTTAACAATGTCAGAGCTTCTGATGTCCTCCTTTCATTGGAAAAGTTGAGATACAGAGATGTTAATCTTCCTTGGAAGTAGCTTGTGTTGAACCATATGTTGCAGTCAAACAACAGCACAGGAGATCTTTTATGACATTTTGTATAATGTCACACCCTGCTTCATGGTAATGTTTACGTCATACACTGTTTCATACTAGGGAGAGGCAGTTATTTCTCTCTCTGGGCACACTGAGAATATATCTGCTAGGAAAAAAACCTCTCCGCATTGGCAACAGGAAGGGCATCCGACCCTTCAGTTCCATTCAGTTGCCCAAACTCCACCCCACAAGGGATCATGGCATTCTTAAAAGAGGATGATGATACACTGTTTTATACAATTTACAACATGTCAATTCCACCTGAGTCATAGGTCCCAGATTTTGGACACATTCTGTAAGTTCACCCATCTGAAGTCCCTCGTTTCAAAGATTGTTACCCTTTGGTGTACCATTTTGCCCAGTGAAAGATTACAAGAATCAAAAATTGTTCATAGTACAAGATAGTCCTCGACTTATGACCACAGTCGAGCCCACAATTGATGCAGCTGAGAAATTTGTGAAGTGAGCTTTGTCCCATTGAACCACCTTTCTTGCCACCTTGGTGAAGCGAATCGCTGCAGTTGTTGGAATTAGTAACAGCGTTGTTAAGTGAATCTGGCTTCCCCCTTGACTTTGCTTGTCAGAAGGACGCAAAAGGGGATCATATGACCACAGGGACGCTGCAACTGTCATAAATATGACAATTTTGATCACGTGACCACGGGGATGCTGCAAATGGCTGTAAGTGTGAAAAACGGTCGTAAATCACTTTTTTCCAGTGCCGTGGAAACTTCGAATGGTCACTAAATGAACTGTTGCAAATCGAGGACCATTACCTGTGTTTAGATCAGTGTCACATCAACCTTTGCCCTTTGAAGACGATAGACACTGAGCTTGTCGATCAGAAAGGTTGGCAGTTCGGCGGTTTGAATCCCTACTACAGGTCCCCTGCGTGAGCAGGGAGGTCGGACTAGATGACCTTCAAGGTCCCTTCCAACTCTGTTACTGTGTACTGTTTTAAGAGGTGTGGACTTCAACACCCAGAATCCCGCAGCCAGCCGCGCTTAAACACACCGCGTATTAACTAACGGTTTCTAAATAATAGACATTTAATTCTCCTGGCTGACGATCCCAGCCAAAACACGCGAAGAAGCCTCACCTCCGAGCTTACAGTGGCTACCAACTTGAAGAGAGTCTTCTCCACCTCGCCCTCTCCGGGCGAGGAGGCGGCCTCGGCAGCAGCCCCAGCCTCACTGCGGAAGCGCTTGCTGGCAAGGACCAGCGCTTCGGCCGGCAAAGACCCTCCGCGCTTTCTCTTCACGCGCAGCACGGCGGCTGTCTCCATGGCAACCGGACCAGGCCGCTCTGAGAGGGACGATGGGAACTTCTGTCGTCTGGCTTGCCGTCCCGGCCAGTCCCTCGGCGTATTCGCAGCTGATATCGGCCCCATTTGATGACGCCATCGCCGTTTCCTCGAAGGGGCCGAGGTCTAAATGATTCCTTAGCACGATATCCGGTTCTTCCAGGGAGCAGTAGTTTTTAAATGTTATTCATTTCAATGGGGCGGCTTTTTCGCCCTGCCTTCTTGGAGGACTTCGATGCAGTTAACAAAAAAATAAAATAATAATAATAACCCTCATTAGTTACTTACGAAGAAACAACAACAACAACAAAAACCAGTTGGCCCGCTTTGTCTACACTTGGAAGTCAAAAGAAGTTATCTAAAGCAGTGGTCTCCAACCTTGGCAACTTTAAGACCTGTGGACTTCAACTCCCAGAGTTCCTCAGCCAGCTCAGCCAGTTTGCTGGCTGAGGAACTCTGGGAGTTGAAGTCCACAGGTCTTAAAAGTTGCCAAGGTTGGAGACCACTGATCGAAAGTATAGAAAATGTATTAATAGTCAATATAACGAATAGAATCAAACAAATTACAATGGGATTGTTATAATATTAGATGCTTACGGTATTGGAAATTAAGCTAAAATGAGATTAAATTATGAATAAGGTTGTATATTTTAATGCTGGCACAAAATATTTATACCCAGACGCTACACTGATCAATGGAAAATGGATGGTTTCTATAAAAATAAAATACAAAAAATACATTTTTTAAAAAAAAGCAGGGTCAGTCCTAGTTAGCAAAAGCAGAAAATCCCAGGGCTAAAGACTGGAAGGAAAAGCTGAAAAGCATTCCAGAAGAAGGCGATGAACTCTTGGGGGGCTGCCACAAAGAAGAGGGGGTCCACCTATTCTCCAAAGCAGGGCAAGAAGCAATGGATGGAAACTAATCAAGGAGAGAAACAACTTAGAACCAAGGAGAAATTTCATGGTAGTGAGAACAGTCAATCAGTGGGACAACTTGGCTCTAGAAGTTGATGCTCCAACACTGGAGGTCATTAAGAAGAGATGGGATAACTATTTGCCTGAAGTGGTTTAGGGCTTCCTGCCTGAGCAGGGGGGTTGCACTAGAAGATCTTCAAGCTTCCTTCCAACTATTCATCTACTCTATTTTATTCTATTCTATTCTGTAATTCTATTCTATTGTGTAATTCTATTCTATAATTCTATTCTGTAATTTTATTCTATTCTGTAATTCTATTCTATTCTGTAATTCTATTCTATAATTCTATTCTATAATTCTATTCTATAATTCTATTCTATAATTCTATTCTGTAATTCTATTCTGTAATTCTATTCTATAATTCTATTCTATAATTCTATTCTATAATTCTATTCTATAATTCTATTCTATAATTCTATTCTGTAATTCTATTCTGTAATTCTATTCTATAATTCTATTCTATAATTCTATTCTATAATTCTATTCTATAATTCTATTCTATAATTCTATTCTATAATTCTATTCTATAATTCT